TGGGAGTTGCAGAGGGGCCCACCACGCTGCCACCCCACTGCCCAGCCCATCTGCTCTGCATGCCCTTTCCACGAAGCTTTCCAGGGTCCCATGGTCACTGCTGGGAGAGGCACCCACAGAAGCAGCTGGGCAGGCCTGACCACGTGGCAACGCCAAGAGGCCCAGCTGAGGTGGAGGCATGGACCATTGCTGGGGCTGCGAACACCAACGTCAGTGGGAGCTGAGCTCAGGGCAGCCCTGCTCACAGCCCCATCCAGCTGGCATGGGGCTCTTGGTGCAGTGTCCTCCGTGCTGCTCCCAGCATTCTTCCTCTGAGGCCCAACAGTGACACACTGCACCTCTCCTGAGACACTGAGAACGCTCCCCACGGCCGCCTGCTCCCAGCCAGGCCCTGCATCCCCGCTGCTCCCCCAGCTTGGCCCTACTGTCCACCGACACACCTGACCTTCAATCTGGACTCTCAGAACCACTGCTCCCAAGGCCCCCTTCTGCTCCCCAGGCAGAGCTCCTCGACAGTCGGGGCACTCCTGGCTCCCCCGGCCCCACAGCCAGCACTGCGCCCGGCACCAGGAAGTTCCACCCACTGAGGGCTGGCCGAGGAAGGCGCATCCTCCTGAGTCCCTGGCCACACGTTGGGGGAGGAACACCTGCAGAAAGAGGCAGGCACTCAGGCCTCTCTGTGCCCCACGGGCCTCCCCAAAAAGGCCCAAATGGCAAGGGAGCCCCCAGCTCCCGCCTGGGGACCAGTGGGGAAAGAGCCTGGTCCATTCTGGCTGGCATTACAGGACCTGCAGCCAGAGCGTCCTCATGTCAGAGAGCTTGTAAGTCCATCACCGGCCTCCCCATCCACCAGTGCACAACTGCCATGACCAAAGCAAGAAAATAATCCCTGACGCCAAATGTTTGACAAACTCCATCTCCAGTCTTCACCACCACAAAGCAAGGAAGAGGTGTTTACTCCCACTTTACAGAAGAGGAGACCAAGGATCAGAGAGGGCACATGAGGAAGTCAGGAAGCAGTGGAGCGAGTCAGAATTCCAACGCAGGCCCAACCAGCCCGCAAGCCCAGGCTCTGCTCCCACTTCCTGTCTTGTCAAGGTCCTTTGTGGACAGAGGACAGTCTTGCTGTGCCCAGGGCCTGACACTTAGCAAGAGCAGAATGAGGCAGTCTCCATCCATCCTCGTAGCTGCCAGCGGGACAGTCAGGCAGGGCCCCACTCCCACTCGCAGGGGAGCAGACCGGGCCTCTCCCCTGGAGTGGGCCGTGCTCAGGGCTCTGCCGTTTTTTACGGAGGGCGACGCCTGGACAGACCAGGCCTGTCCGACAGCACACACAGAAGGGGCTGGGCTGGGCTGGGCCCGTGGTCATCACTCTCCAGGCCTGTCCTCCGGGAGCTCACGCTGACCCCGCACCAGTCCTGCTCTCAGCCTCCCAGAGCGCCCGCAGTGCATGCGAGCCTGAGGAGCGCCGGGCCGGGGGTGAACGGCCGCCGCCACCTGCTCCTGCTCCAGTGCGACAGGAAGCAGGGCCCTTGCCTAACAGAGGAAGTTCCTGGGCGGGGCGGGCACAGGCCCAGGAGGCCCGCCGGGGGTCCCAGCCCAGTCCCAGGTCCAGGAAGCGGGTCGCCTCCCATGTCCAGCTCAGGGCCAGAGGCCAACCTGCAAGGCCAAGGCTCACAGCCCAGGCCTACCCAGCAGCTGTGGCTTTGCCCCTCGAGGTAGCAGCCAGTCGGCCAGCATGCCCAGGAGGTGAGTCAGCACCCAGTGCCCGCTGACTCACCCGCCGGAAGCCCCCGCTGCCCGGCCCTCTCCCAACACGGGCCGCTGAGCACTCTGCTCCCTTCAGGCCCTGAGCCACAGGCTGGCTGATAGTTTCCTGTGCGTCACGCCAGGGGTGGGGGAAGTCCCCAAGGTGCCACCCTCCAGGCTTTCCGACAGCCGGCTTGGGACAGGACCTGGGGGCGGGGGCAGCAGCCACAGGAGGCAAGGTCAGGATGCAGACAGTGCTTGCCCCCTGCAGCCTCAGTGTCCCTGTTGGGCAGCCGGGAGCCACATGAAGACCAACCAGGAAGAGCCTGCGGGGGCAGTGACAGCACGTGGACGGCGCCCCTGAGGACAGACGGGGCTCAAGGCAGCAGACCCAAACACGCGCCTACCAAATGTGCCCCTGCCCACTGGCCCAGCGCCAGCTACCCTTGGCCTCTGACCCCAGCCAAAGATGGCAGGTGGGCAAGGAGGCCAGGGAAAACCAGCAGGGTTCTAGGGCCTGGGGCCTTGCACACTCCCAGAAAACTGCACCGGCCTGAGGCCTGGAGGACGGACGGGCAGGCACCCAGCGCAGGCAGGAGGTGCAAAGGCACAGCTTCCTCAAGGCCAAGCACCGACCACGCCCTGCTTGTCCAAATTCCTCTGAGAAGGTGGAGAAGAGCATGAGGCTGGGGCCCGGGCCCGGATGGGGAGGGCACAGGGGCCCTCAGCACTGCAGACTCCGTCCCACCACTCCCTCTGTCTGACCTCAGTCTTGACATCTGTCAAATGGGTCAGACTAAAGCAGCATGAAATGTGCCAAGTGTGAAGGGCTGTGCACGCAAGAGGCATCACCTCTGGCTCAGTCCGTCCTCCGGCCCAGGACGGCCTCCTAGACGGAGGTGCGATGGGGGGTGGAGATGTCCCGCCAGTTCAGCTCAAGTGGCCAGCCCAGGAGTGGGACGCAGAGGAGCACTGGGGGGACCTGTGGAGACACACAGCCCTGGATGGAACCCTAGCTCCATCTGTCACAGCCATGTGACCTCAGGCAAGGCACTGAATGCCTCTGAGCCTCAGTTTCCTCCTCTGTAAACAGGGCTGTGAGGAATAAATGGGAGAGCACGTTGCACACGGAAAAACCTTGATAAGTGGGAGCTCTTGGGATTTTTGGTGAGGGGGGCATTGTGGTTCCCCACACCTCTTTCCACAGACCCCAAAGAGGCTGACAGGGTTCCTAGGTCTTATGGAGGCCCCTAACCCTCCATCCAGCCCTCCCAACATTATCTGTTACCTCAAGCCACAAACTGGAAATTCATCCTGGCCTTCTCTCTGCAGAGGCTCAGAGAGGGCAATCCCAGGACTCAAGTCACACAGCATATGGGGATTGAGCAGTATCTCCCCAAAGTGCTTTTTCCCTTCACATCCATAATCCCTCCTCTCCCTTCACAACCCTGCAACTTGAACTCTTATTTTGATGAGACATTCCCTGTCTGGAAGAGCTGAAAGAGGCTTCAAAAACAAACACTGCTTCCAACCTCTTCCTTCTACCCATGAAAACACTGTGGCCCAGAGAGGCTGACGGCCCTGCCCTAAGTCCCACAGCACCGACCAAGCCAGGCCTAGACCCTGAGCTGGAGAAGAGGAGAAGTGTCTGATTTCGCGGTTCTGCACGGGGGGAAGCCTCTGACTTCCCGGTTCCCAGGCTCCACGAGGTCTGCACAGTACAAGTCCCTCCCCAGACACCTCCCTCCCCACTCCCGAGTGCCTCCCGCGTTACTCACAGCCGTTGGGCAATGGTCAGGGATCCAGCCTCCCGGACCTCCCACTTACGTAAGACGTAATTATCCCGCCCACCCGCCGGCCGGCTGGGCTCTGGCCCACAGCCCGCAGCAGGGGCAGCGAAGAACCCACAGCCTCCCCAGGACCCCACATGCCCTCCCACTACCTGGGCCCCTCCAGGGAAAGAGAGGTAGAGACAAGCCCTGATTAGAGGCCCACTAAGTGCCAGCTGTTACCCTTCTCCCCCTCACTCTGCAGCTGCACCCCAAACAGAGGCAAGGCCTTGACCTTGCATGGCTGAGGCCCTTCCAGTAAGAAAAACGGTAACAGGAACAAGACGCACAGCAGCCGTCCCTGCCTCAGCACCCACCACGCGCCCTGCCCAGGCTGAGCTCTTCAGCTCGCTGCCCTCGCTCGCTTCAAACTTAGCACTCACTACCTTAGGTCATACTCCGGGGGTCCACTCCCACTTCACAGACACGGAAACCGAGGCCCTCAGGCACCTCTGTCGCTGGTGGGAGGCAGGAGCAGGTCTAGAGAGCCAGGAGGCAGCCCCCTCATTACAGCTACGTCCAATTAGGAAGTCTCTCCCATGACCCAGCCTGCTGAGACTCCGACAAGCCAAAAACGTCCTTTCCGCCTCCTGCAAAAACCCCCTTCGGCCCTCAAGCCCCGTCCCCCCCAGCACGACAAATCCTGCTGCCACAGCCACCACCTCACAGAAACGTCAGGGAGCTAGCTGGCTGCTTGGAGGAGACAAGAGCAAGCCAAATTGCACGCCCAGCACCCTGGCCTAGCAGCTCGCCCAGGACCCACCCATAGCAGAGACAGGCCAGGTAGCCGTCAACCCTGGAGACATCGGGGCGCAGGAGAGGGTGAGGTCCCCAAGTGCACAGAGAAGCCTGCAAGTGGAGACAAAGAGCTGACAGAGAGAGGCCGTGCATTAGGGCACGGTGGGAAGCCAAAAGAGGTTGCTGGGGGCTGCAAGACGGGGTGCAGGCCGGCCAGGATTGGGGCGATGTGGGGCTTACAAGGATGGAGAGAGCTGGGGAAGAACAGGGATTTCTGAGCTGGAGTGTGGCCAGGGCACCACATGGGGGGGCCCGGGGAGGATCCAGTGAGATCCCCAGCAAGGGAGCATCGCTGGAGCCCAGATGGGGAGTCAGCGAAGTTCAGCCCGGACACAGCCCTGCGACCCAGAAGTGAAGGGGGCCGGGGGCAGGATCGGCGTGAAGCCCACCTGGATCCAGCTGAGGGGCCCAGATTGGGAGAGCTCCTGTCCAGGGTGCAACTACTGCCTAAAGGAGCAGGTCGGAGGGAGGCTGCCGACCCGGAGCGGGGCGATCAGACCTAGCCCTTCCCCTGGCTCCGGGCCGGGATGCAGTCCCGAGTCGGAAGCCGCCGCCGGGTCCGGGACGGCTGGGGTGGGACCGCGGGGGCCGGGGGCCGCGGCGCGGGCCGGAAGGCGCGCCTACCTTTGGCCGAGGGCAGGCCGGCGGGCTGGCTCGAGGCGGGCGGCTCCATGGCGCAGGCGGGTCCGGGGCGGCGGGCACTAGTCGACAGGGCGGCGGGCTCGGCCCGGGCGGAGCGAGCTCATGGCCGCGGGCGGCGAAGGCGGCGGGGACGCGCTCCACGGGCGGCGCCGGGCGACTGGGCAGCGCCGCGGGCCGCCGGACGGCGCCGACGCAGGCCCCGCCCCTGCCGCCGATTGGCCCGCCGCCCGGAGCCTCTGCCTATCAGACGCCGCCATGGCCTGCCTGTCAAGGGCGAGCCCCGCCCCACGCGCCCAGACCCCGCCCCCCGCCGCCCGCGAAGCCCGGGCCGCCTGCCCGCCCGCCGGGCGCCGTCCGGGAAGCCGGGCCGCAGCCCAGAGGGGCTACAAGAGCGTCGCGAGTCAGGGACCCCTGAGCCTCCTTCCGCATCTGTGAGACTGACCGCGACGGCGCTGGCGCCGCCGGTGAGAAGGGGACCCTCTGTCGCGGACACTCAGTAAACGTTTGTTGACCGAATATCTTAAAGGGCTTAACGCAGCCCCCGGCTTCAGCGAGCGTCCGCCGGGCGCCCAGCCTGTGTCGGCGCCGTGCCGGCGGGTGGGGTACAGTGGTGAACTTGGGGGACCCGCTGAGAAGTCAGTAAATGGAGCTCTAGTGGTTGTGTCGTCACTGTCCTCCGTTCTACACATGGGGAAACTGAGTCTCCGCGGGATTAAGATGGCGTTTCAGTGCCTTTGACTCCGCTCGGCAAGCCTTGGCCGAGGCCTCCTCCTGGCCTCTCCTGGGCCTGGGTTCTCTCCTCCTGTCCGCCTGGGGCTGAAGTCCCCTCTTCCACACGGCGGCCGGACGGGCCAGGCCTCCCTTCCGCTCCCACGTGGAGCCTCGAGGGGTGTCAGGAGCCGCTGGGACGGGGGGCCCCGGGTGGAAAGCCAGGGGCTGGTGAGGACGGGAAGCTCCTGGCGAGGGTGCGGGTGCAGGCGGGGGTCTGCGTCGTCCACCACCGGCAGACCCCTCGGAGCAGGGGCCCGCCTCTGGGGGCCGGGTGTGAAACGGGTGACCGCGCCGGGCCCAGCGGTGAGGGAGGGCCGCAGGGGATGGGGAAACCCGTCATTAGCATTATTCTCTTCCCAAGGCCCCTGCTCCCCCTTTCCAGGCTGTGGGCCAAAAGTCGTGAGCTGTGGACTGGGCATGGGTTACAGTGCCACCTCTGCCGCTTCCTAGAGGTCACTGAGCACCTCCCTGCCTGGCTTCACTCCCCCGGCCCATGGGGACAATGAGGCCTCTCTGAAATTGCTTCATGAGCCCAGGGTTGGAAGTGGCTGGCTCAGGGCCTGGCGCTCACTAGATGCCCAGGAAATGTTTGTAAACACACTGTCGGCCACCTCCTACAGGAAGCCCTCCCAGCCTTACCATCCTGGGTGTCTGGAGTCGCCCAGAGCACTCTGTCCCCAGTGGGCCATGTGACCTTAGGCCAGTCATTTCACCTCGGGACCTGCTGCCTATCTGTGTATAAAATGAGCACCCCGCAGTAGCTGCCTCCCTACCAGGGCTGTAAACCTGGTCGGGCAGGTTTTCTGGGTTCAGGCCCCTGCCAACCTCTGGGACTTCTGCTCCTCCCACGCTCCCCCTTGCCCTCTGTGCTCCTCGCCATGTTCAAGTCAAGGGTCTTAGTGCTGCCCGTTGAACTCACCAAACCGGTCCTGCCTCAGGGCCTTTGCCCTTGCTGTTCCCTCTGACAGGAACACCTTCCCCTGCCACCACTGTGCTTTCTGGGACTGGTTCCCTTCCATCCTCAGGCCTCCTCTTCAGTGAACTCCCCTAAGAGGCCCTCCCGGTCATACCCCAAATCCGCCAATGCCTTTCCTGTGGACTCTGCTTTTACCCCAGCTCTCCCTCCACACCGGCGGCCCCTCGGGGCAGGAATCCGGCCCACTCCTTCTCTGCTGCGTCCCTGATGCCAGCCCAGACCTGGCACATAGGAGGTGCCTGGTAAATACTTGAGGAATGAACAAAGGGAGGATGGAAAGCATGCCACAGACATCGACAGAGTGACTCTAGTTCCATGCCAGCCTCCCAGGCGCCCCTCTGACTCAGACAGGGCCGTCCCGTTGAGGAGGGAGCCTGACAGACAGCCATGTGCGCTGCTATAAATAGACACATGAGCAAGAGTCCCGGGAAGGCGCCGGACTCCACCTGGGCCAGCTCAGGGAAGGCTCCTCGGAGGAGGTGACTTTGAGTCTGGGCCTTTAGGGACCACGGGCGTGGTCAGGCAGGGAAGCAAGCGAAGTCTCCTGGAAAGTGTTGGAGGTGCGAAAGAGGCCGAGCGGCCAGACGGGTCCAGAGCTGCAGTGCTGCAGGCGGGCCTCCCGGGAGCTTGTTTCTCTTCCTAGCTGGTTGCAGCGACATCTGCTGCCTCTGAGTGGCACAGCGAAGCTGGGGGCCGCTGCCACCACCCAGGACCGGAGGGGCGTTCAACGCGGTCACAGCAGGCTGCCTCTTAGCCTGACTCCTAGGAGAAAAGTCCCAAACGTGCCTCTGTACACTCAGGGAAATTGAGGCACAGAGTAGAAAGGGGTGTGGCCAAAGGCAGGATGTGAGTCTGAGCTGAGGTGGGCGGGACCTGGGGTGACAGGACGAGAATGCGAACAGGTCTGAACCCAGGGCTGGGAAAGGTCGTCCACTCGTTCACTCATTCAACAGCTGCGTCTGGAGCGCTCTGTGCACCTGGCGCTGAGGGCACGGCGGTGGGGCCACACCACACCTTGCCCTTGGAGGTGCTGCTGTTGCACGCCAGGCCAGCAACTCGCCTAAGTGAAACTGTCGTCTGTCAGAGGAGCAGTGCTATGGGGAAAGGAGGGAGGGGGCAGGGAGTGTGTCGGGTGGCACAGCAATTTTAAAGAGGAAGGTCAGGAAAAGCCTCACCGGAAGGTGATGTGTAAGCACAGATGTGAGGAGAGGAAGGAGGAGTCATGAGGACGTCTGGGGAAATAGCATGCTGGGCAGAGGGAAAGCATGTGCAAAGGCCCCGAGGTGGATGGCTTGTAGGGGAATAATAGGGCAGCTGGAGTAGTGGGAGATGACGGAGCCCCTGTTCGCACCTATGCGCACCCCTTGCACATGCCTGCTCACACGCCGTTGCACAGTCCCAACCCCACATGCCCCCTTTCACCCCTAAGTCCACACACCCCAAATAGGCATGCACACAGCGGGGTGCAGAAGCAAGGGCCTGCATGTGGAGTGGCTCCCAGGCCCAGGCGCGTTCGCAGCGTGCTCCACGCCCACTGGGGGCCCGGCTGCGCCATGTGGAGTCTGCACGGCCTGTTGACCCACAGCGCCCTCTAGTGACCAGTCCTGCTGCACGCGAGCGGTCACTCCGTGGAGCCCTGAGCGGAGCCAGCGACCCTCTCTGCTCCCCTTCTCCGCTGTGTTCCCTGCCTGCACTTCCTCCCCACTTCAGCCAGAGAGAGCCTTCCAACACACAGGCTGGCTGAGCCCCACACCCTGCCAGGGCTCCTAAGTGGCGGACCGCCCCCCAGGCCAGCCACTCCCAGCCCAAGCTCTCCTCCCTGAACCTTTCTTTGCAAAGGCTGTTCCTTCCGCTGGGAATGCTCTTCCCTGCCTTCTCCAAGGACTCACTCCTACTCCCCCTCAAGGCTCAGTTCTGAAGCCGGGAGGAGGTTCTCCATGACACCGCCCCCCCCCCCAGGGCCAGACCTAGCCCCCCTGGTCAGGGACCCCAGCTCTGCTAGTGGCTGCAGCCCCATCTGCCTCTGTGTCCGACTCATGCTGCTCCAAAGCAGGGGCTGGCGCTGGGTCCTTCTGGCCAGAGGTGGTGCTTTGGGGCAGTAGGAAGCTGGCCTGGAGGAGCTAGGAGGGGGCGGGAGCCTCTCACTCAGGGTCAGGCTCTGAGGTTGCAGCTACAAAGAGGAAACCACAAGGAAGGGCGGGTCCCACCTGCTCTATTTAAATTGCTGCTCCTCTGGAGCGTCCGAGGGTAAATTCACACGAGTTGGATGGCTCCACTAGCAGAACTGCGAGTGCCGTTCTCAGAGCACCTACTCTGCTGATCTGTGGAAGCACAGCTCTTGCGGCCTCACTGTAAGGCAAGCAGTGAGGGGTAAGGATTCTGCTTTGGTCACTGCCGTGTCCCCAGCACACAGCAGGTGCCAGTGAACAAGTGGGGAATGGAGGAAGGCTCACCAGACCCCAGCAAGGTGCCTGCTGTTATCACCTCCAGTTGTTAACAGCTGAGAAAATCGAGGCTGAGCGAGGTGCCACCGCCGGGAGCAGCCGCACCGTGGTTAGGTGGAGAGAGCTCTCCTGGCCTCTTCCTGCCCAAGTGTCCATTAACATGGTCTCCAACACCCTTCTTCTGAGCGAAACAAGTTGCTTTCCGGAGAGATCCAAGATCTGTGCTTCCAATGGAACCCTCAGGGCTGTCCTGCCTGATACCCTGCAGAGTTGCACAGAAACCTTGAGGCTGCCCCGGGACCCTGTCCAGGTGCCCAAGGCCTGTGGGCATCCCAGGAGTCCTGGCCTGGAGCTGGTCTGCTCTGGGTCCTCATAAAAGCTCCCACGTGGCCCTTGCTGCCCAGGAGGCGCAGGCAGGTGTTGACTGTCACCTGCTGCACCCCAAGCCCAAGACTTGACATGACCCAGTGAGGCCAGTGTGGTTAGACCTTCATCTAACAAATGAGGAAACTGAGGCCCGAGGCTTCAAGCAGCTTGCCCAGGTCCCACTACCAGGAAGGATGAAACCGGGCATTTAACGCAGATGGTCAGAACCGCCTACTATGTCTCGGCATTTTCCTGGAAGGCTCACGCTTGTTATCTGGACTCCAGAACCTCTGTGTTCTTCTTATCACCATGGTGCAGGGAGAGCACAGCGCAAACCCAGAGACAAGCAGCTCGCCCCAGATCACATGGGCGGGGAGGAGGGGCCGGGCCACGCGGCTGAGGCTGACTCCAGACTGCGCGCGGCCCAGTGTCTGCCAGCAAAGGGCTGTTTTCAGGTGTGAGGGGTGACCTGGCCCCCCAGGAAGTAGCTGAGTGACCGTGAGCCAATCGCTGGGCTCAGCCAGGCCATGGCGATCCTCACATCCATTCTTATCAGCGTTTCTGTTTGCTTTAAGCCACCCCCAAGCCTGGG